TTTAGAAACATGCGTTTTGAGTATTTGGTTGCAATACATTTCACATTATAAGCCACTTGGTTGAGCTATCATTTGTGGTCAGGTTGCTTCTGAAAAAGAGCTAATATAGCTCTATGGGCCTTAGCTGGTAAAATATAACGTTTAATTTAATGAGTTTAGTGTTAACTAATAAACCCTGTGAATATCTCTCTCACTTGGGGAAGGTAGGGATGGATGAGACGACGCAGACACTGAGCTCACTTGAAGGCACAGTAGTTGGAGTGATGGTGTCACTCGTCACAGATCTAAGGGACAGATGGAATAATTGACTGTCAGAGCATTGTGAGGTTTGCAGTGCTGTAATCTTTTTTCTCACACCAATGATGGCAAAAGGTCTAGAGCCCCTCTAGAGGGTATTTTGTCGACTCCTCTACAATGGCCGACCGGGACATTTACAGCTGCAGAATCTTCCTCCGTCAGCTCCACCCACTACTCCAGTAACCCCACCCACTGCTAAGGTAGCTCTGCGCTTTTCCCACATTATGCGTCGGCCATAAGGCCAGGCCATTTTTAAAGAGGGACAAAAACTAGTGTTTCACAAGAGATTTTTGTGGAACACCGGTCAGCCTTTCTGAAACCACTGGGAGTCCTGGCCAAACAAGGGCATTCGGTGGCTTTACCATAACTTCCCAACACTAGTATGGTCCCAACTTACTTAATCAACCCGTAACTCAATTTTCTATTGACCAGTACAGGCCAGGCCTCCTTAACCAACCATAACACTAACCTGCTTACACTATCACAAGCCCAGTCACTTTGCCAACCCAAAAATTCTAACCCTGACTCTACTGCTCCGTTTCCGCTGGGGGGCGTAAAATCCATTAGAGTGCCACGACTCTCAGGAAAATGTGGAGCTGGCACAGCCCAATGCAAGTAGCGTGGAGCACAGTGAGTCAGGATTCTGCTCAAACCTGACAGGCACACACAACGGCCTTAGCACAACCTTTTATTTCAGCTGTCAAATGCAATTTCGGATTGTATCGGGTGTTGTCCATCACGATGACTGACGTTTCACTCCATGTGCTGGAGGTTAATTCGGGCTCTGAAGACGTTCATCGTTTTCCCCAGTAGGTGGAGCGAAACGTCGGACATCGTGTTCAAACAATGCATGTCATGAGCCGAAAACGCACCAGAGAGAAACAGAAAAACTACGAAACCCTACACGGCAGTATACCATTCTGCTTTCATCTGTGTTTTTTATTCCCCCCAATGGAATTCTGATTGTTTTGTCAGCGTCAGCACAAGATTGCCACAAAACCCAGACATGTTTCTCAGTCAGCCTACATCTATCAAGAGTTGTGCACAGACTCTGTGCTAAATGTTAACAAATTGGCACAGGATCTCGGTACAAATTATTTCCTGGCTCCCAAACAAATTTTGTTTACACTTGTTTAGAAAGGAAAGCCCCATTGAGTCTCATGAGTTTTTCAGGAGGATCTCGCCAAGCTTTTGCAGTAGGGGTGATGATTGCTATGTATAATCCCAACTGAGTAATTTGCAGGCCATTATTCACCACTGGCAAACTTTGACTGTGACAGGGGCACTCAACGGGCTAGTCTTGCGAATGACGCCATGGTATCTTTAACATCCACTGTTCTGCAGACGGCACGTAGCATTTTTTTATGGTTAATGTAACTGTAGTAATGACCATGGCGGCCACTGCAACCAAACTGTGAACCTCTGCAACAAACGGCAGAAGTGCAACCGCTAGGCCATGTTGATAACAAACCAAGACAGGCGGGAACCCAATATGAACATTGTCATGAGACGAATGATCTCACAAACCTCGCAGATAGAACCACCTCCTGTCCTGGTTTTCCAAGGACCGTCTGCTTATTGAGGAAGCAGCTGCTATCATGGGTCATCTACGAGTCTTCGGGGCCGTCCATAAATGACGTCACGCGATTTTGGACGATTTTTGACCCCACCCCCTTCGTCACACGGCGCACAAAGTCAGACCCCCCCCCTCAAATATGACGTCACAAAGCTCTGCCCCCCCCCCCAAATAAAACATGCTTCAAATCGCTTTAAACTATTGTCATTGTAGTGCGTTTTTAATGTGGCGCTGCACTCTGATGTTGTAGGAGAAAACATTTATTAAAAGTTTATTTAATTAAGCAGAACGTGTTGTCTATATTTATTCAAAGTTGCGCATTTTGATGTGACGTCACATTTCTCAACCCCCCCCCCCCCCGTCGCACATCGTCACAAATGTCTGACCCCCCCCCCCCCCCAGGTGCGTGGCGTCATTTATGGAAGGTACATTTTTTTTGTCAGTTGGGGGCCGACTATAAATGACGTCACGCACCTGGGGGGGGTCAGTGATTTGTGACGATGTGTGACGAGGGAGGGGGGGTTTGACAAATGTGACGTCACATAAGTATGCGCAATATAGATGTAGTGGTGGCGTTGACGTGCGCCGACAGTGATGGATCACGGGGCGCGGGGTTGGGCACGCGATGTGGGCGTGGTATGGACGCGCGCGCCGGTGGTGAGGCGCGCTGACACAAGGTGGGAAAAGAGGATCGTAGCCAGCACGCAGTGATTGGTCAAATAGGATGGGTGCTCTCAGCGACGTCCGCAGGAGGTGCATAAAGGGGGACGCGCGAGAGCACTCGAGGTTGTTAACCAGTTGAAGACCGAAGACGGAGTGGAGGAGGTAGTGGCCCGAGACCCCTAGTCCCGCCGTTCTTGTCAGGACCGGAGCCCTGTGTGGCTCGGAGCCGAGACTGGGGGACCCGTGGTCCGACGCCCGTGTGGGTCGGGACGGTGGTACCCAGAGCCGAGACGGACACCCCGGCCGGGTGTGTTCCGGAAGGCTACGGGGCGTAAGAGCCCGTGTCAGTGTAGCTGAGTGGGTGTTAGTCACCCGAGTAGCTAAGTGGGTGTTAGTCACCCGTGTAGCTGAGTGGGTGTTAGTCACCCGAGTAGCTAAGTGGGTGTTAGTCACCCGTGTAGCTGAGTGGGTGTTAGTCACCCTAGTAGCTGAGTGGGTGTTAGTCACCCGTGTAACTAAGTGGGTGTTAGTCACCCGTGTAACTATAAGTTGGTGAAATAAAAGAGTGTGCTACCCGTGAAGACGTCTCCCGCCGAGTTACTACTTTACATAGACAACGTTCTACTTAATTAAAGACTTTTTTTAATAAATGTTTTCTCCTACAACATCAGAGTGTAGCGCCACATTAAATACGCACTACAATGACAATAGTTTAAAGCGATTTGAAGCATGTTTTATTTTTGTGACGTCATATTTGAGGGGGGGTCTGACTTATTGTGACGCCGAGTGACGGGGGGGGGGGAGTCAAAAATCGTCCAAAATCGCGTGACGTCATTTATGAACGGCCCCTTGTGCAATATAGTACACTAGCTCAAGACATGGACAGACTGCTCTCTCATGGGGTCTCTTGAAAATGACAGGGATGTCTCTGACGAGGTCGCTAGAATATGGTAGACGTACCTCTGTGTTTTGTGAGGGGTTGCCTCTTGTCCATCGTAGTATTTTTTTCCAACAAAGGGGCGAAGGTGATGGTAGGGTGGTGCTTGGAGCAGGGGTGGTGATAGGGGGAGGGGTGTTGGTAGGGGCAGGGGTGGTGGTAGGAGCATTGGTGATAGCAGTGGGGGTGATGCTAGGAGGCTCATGACGGACGCTACTGGGTAGTCGGGGCAGTCGTGCTCCAACAACAACGGAGGGCAGAGGCACGACGCTCACAACGAGCGGAGCGCCGGGCGACTAAAATACAGCAAGTTGGTAGAGTAAGGGGCACAGCTGGTGCATCTGCCAGTCATCTCAGTCAGTCAACGCATGGCACCTGCTGGGTCTGTTCCGTGATCTGTCAGTGAGCCTTCGACACTTCACGTGTCCTCAAAGTGCACCTGGCCTGGCACAGGCGCTGTTGTGACGTCACCGCCATTTAGTGGCGAATGGCACTTTTGTTGTGGGTGGTGGTATGGGCGGGAGTGGTGCAAGGCATGGTAGTAGCAAGGCCGTAATCTATACTATATCTCTATATATATAAAAAAGGGAAATTTGTGATTATGTGTCTATTCAAAATGTTTAGCGTACTTCCCGACATGCAACAAACTTGAAATGTGCCATGTGGGTACTTTCCAGACTGTACACCATGCAAAAATTAGGAAAATAGACTTTGTATATTTTTTTTGGGCGGGGGTGGCGCAATAATGCATATATTTTGCACGGCAAGTGAGCTGTGACGTCACATCTGTTACGTGACCCCGTATGCGGAAGCGTCACGCAGTGTGCCTGCTCATGTCACGCAGGTCTAAGGCGTTCTTCGCGCAGTATTGCTGCTTCATTTCAGTCGTTTACTGCCGTACGCACCCTGAAAGTTATGTGTCTGCAGCAAGCGCGTGTATGTGTACCTATGGACGCGCGTGCGTGTGTGGGGGGAGTGGTAGTGTAGTGGTTGGTGCGCTGCGTTACGAACCCGGCGACCCGACATCGATTCCCGCTCACAGCCACCACCGGTGACGATTATTTGAACTGGTCCTGGGCCTCCCCTAGGTCGACTCAGCCTCAAACGAGTAATTGGTGTGGTGTGTGAACATCGCCACTGAGACAAAGGCGGCCGGGCGTGATGAATCCAAGTCCCAGGCGAAGCTGGGTAGTAAAGCTAGTAATAATATATGGGGGGACACATCCCCCCCAATATTCAAATGTTAAAAATGTCCCCCCAATATATTGCTATAAACTATAAAAACAAATTCTATGCTATGTAAATCAAAAAAAAATTTGCTAAACCTTGGCCACAATATCTGGACTTGTCTTCATATAACAATGCATAGATTTCTGTTTATATGATTGTGGTTATGGTTGTACTTTATAAATCCCTAATCTCTGTCATTACATACAATGAAACAAGGTAAAAAAGAGAAACAGAGCAATGTAATACAATACACTAGTTGACATTATTGTACTACAAAAAAGTCCATAGTCCATCCCATGTGTTAGTGATTTTTTTAATATTTTAGGCAGGAAATGGCAGGACATTTGTTTTCAAATTTAGATTTTTTTTCTGGGGGGCCCTAGACCCCCTGGAAGATTTGGTCCCCCCTAATGTTGACTCCATGGCTACAGCATTGGGTAGTGGTACTATAGACGTGGGTGGTGGTAGGTGTGGGAGTGGTACTATAGACGTGGGTGGTGGTAGGAGGGGAGTGGTACTAGGGGTACGAGTGGTGGTATGGGCAGGTGTGGTACTAGTTTGCATGGGTGGTGGTAGGTGTGGGAGTGGTACTATAAACGTGGGTGGTGGTAGGGGGGGAGTGGTACTAGGGGCGTGGGTGGTGGTAGGAGTGGTAGTGGTGCTAGAGACATGGGTGGTGGTAGGTGTGGTAGTGGTACTAGAGGCATGGATGGTGTTAGATGTGGGAGTTGTGCTCGGGGCGTGGGTGGTGGTATGGGCGGCAATGGTGCTCGGGGCGTGGGTAGTGGTAGGGGTGGTGGTTGGTGTGGAAGTGGTACTAGGGGTGTGGGTGGTGGTAGGGGCGGGGGTGGTGGTAGGTGTATGAGGGATACTAGGGGCGTGGGTGGTGGTAGGTGCGGGAGTGGTGCTAGAGGCATGGGTGGTGGTAGGGGCGGAGGTGGTGGTAGGTGTATGAGTGGTACTAGGGGCGTGGGTGGTGGTAGGGGCGGGGGTGGTGGTAGGTGTATGAGTGGTACTAGGGGCGTGGGTGGTGGTAGGGGCGGGGGTGGTGGTAGGTGTATGAGTTGTACTAGGGGCGTGGGTGGTGGTAGGTGTGGGAGTGGTACTAGGGGCGGAGGTGGTGGTAGGTGTATGAGTGGTACTAGGGGCGTGGGTGGTGGTAGGGGCGGGGGTGGTGGTAGGTGTATGAGTGGTACTAGGGGCGTGGGTGGTGGTAGGGGCGGGGGTGGTGGTAGGTGTATGAGTGGTACTAGGGGCGTGGGTGGTGGTAGGGGCGGGGGTGGTGGTAGGTGTATGAGTGGTACTAGGGGCGTGGGTGGTGGTAGGGGCGGGGGTGGTGGTAGGTGTGGGAGTGGTACTAGGGGCGGAGGTGGTGGTAGGTGTATGAGTGGTACTAGGGGCGTGGGTGGTGGTAGGGGCGGGGGTGGTGGTAGGTGTATGAGTGGTACTAGGGGCGTGGGTGGTGGTAGGGGCGGGGGTGGTGGTAGGTGTATGAGTTGTACTAGGGGCGTGGGTGGTGGTAGGTGTGGGAGTGGTACTAGGGGCGGAGGTGGTGGTAGGTGTATGAGTGGTACTAGGGGCGTGGGTGGTGGTAGGTGTATGAGTGGTACTAGGGGCGTGGGTGGTGCTAGGGGCGGGGGTGGTGGTAGGTGTATAAGTGGTGCTAGAGGCATGGGTGGTGGTAGGTGCGGGAGTGGTGCTGGGGGCATGGGTGGTGGTATCGGCGGGAGTGGTGGTAGTGACAGCAGCGGTACTCGGGGCGTGGGTGGTGGTAGGTGGGGGAGTGGTACTAGGGGCGTAGGTGGTGGTGGAGGCGGGAGTGGTGGTTGGGGCGGGAGTAGTACTTGGGGTGCGGGTGGTGGTACGGGCGGGATTGGTACTAGGGGTGTGGGTAGTGGTAGGTGCGGGAGTGGTACTCGTGGTGTGGGTAGTGGTATGGGCGGAAGTGGTACTAGCGACATGGTTGGTGGTACGGTGGCGGGTGGTGGTAGGGAAGGGGGTGGAGGCTCTTGGTGGGGTGAGCAGGGCCGTCATGTTGGCGTGATGGACAGTGTTCTGAATTTTCTCCATCACCGTTTCTGCTGCGACTAAACACACACAACACCACAAAGAACAAATCACAACTCTCACCACCTTCACCAGTAATACGGCCTCATGAGCAGTGGCCCAACATCGATAGCTTGGGCCCTTCCCCTCTATTCACAGACTGGGGCCTGGATCCTGTGGGTTCATGACCCTGGTGCAATTGCAGCACCTGCACACTCGAATCTATGCCACTTCATAAATCTGAACAATATAAAGGGTTTATCTTCTTGGTTCTTTCGGTAAAGTCACGTAGAAGGGAAATAATAAAATAATAAAAATTTCATATAATAAAATACAATTCTCACGACGTTTCGGCCTCAATGCAAGCAGCCGTCCTCAGGTGAAGAACAGGTCTGTTCCTGTCGGAAAGACAGACCTGTTCTTCACCTGAGGACGGCTGCTTGCGTTGTGGCCGAAACGTCGTGAGAATTGTATTTTATTATGTTTTTATTTTTATTATTTCCCTTCTACGTGACTTTACCGAAAGAACCAAGAAGATTAATCCCTGCAGTCACGAAAGCTTTAAATCGAAATATAAAGGGTGCCCAATCAAGGTGTAGAGGAGTAGTATGACGACGTGACGTGATGAGCACTGCGAGGCGCGATGACGTCATGTCACGTGACGTACTTAAGGGGGACCCCGTGACGAAAGGAGGGTCGTTGTGGGAGCCCGGGATGGAGAGTGTCTGAAATTAGGTCTCTCCTGCTCGTGACCGGACGGTGTTCGCTGATCCCCCGTCCGGGTTCTACAAATAGGAAGCCGAAGATATAGCCAGCTCTGAGAAGTCTGTAAGAGCCGGCTAAGGTTACGTGGGGTGCTGCTCTCCTCAGTCGGGCGGTGTTGGTTGAACCCCCGTCCTGACTCGAGTGAGAGAGCCTAAGAGATAGCCGAGGCTAGTAACAGATAGAGCCTGAGGTCCGAGGAAAGGACCAAGTGTAGGGGCACATATCTCTGGTGTAAATCACTTGAGTTCCGGCTTCGAGTCGTTCTGCACCACACAACAAAGGTAACAAGTGCAGGTAAATGTGCAGCCTTGCAGTTTCAGTGTCTCGCTCACACCACTGCAGGCCACTGCTGAGCTCTAAAGATCCTTCCATGGGCAAGGGATGGCTATGTGGGAGTCATTCCTGTTTTCAGACCAGGTGCCGAGTCACTTTGTGACCACAGACACAACTGCCCTTTCAAATGTTGAGATGGGATGTGAATCCAAGTGATCTGAGATGCCCTGGCGGATACGGAACTATTGCAAAATAAATAATTACCATTATTACCACTCTTACAGATGTCTAGGAAGATATGAGAGAACGCACATTTTACCCCACCCACACACGACCTGCCAAATGACTGTGGTGTAAACATCAAACTGCTGTTGTGCAGTCAAAAACGACCAGCGTACTGGAGGCTACCGAGGCCTTTATTAGTAATTTATCCTGCATGGTCTCCAGCCTGCAGCCTGTTCCTGCCCCCACCCGACCCCCACTCCCCGAAATGGTATGAGAAACACTGCCAAAACCCCTGACCCCTAACTCCTAAACCTCACACGCTCATAAAAAAACCGCCAACCCATAACCCTAACACTTACACTAAACCAGATAACTCTTGCAAACCAAGCACTCTATCCTTATCTCCTAAGTTCATAACCTGGTTGAACAAAATATATTTTAAATATTAACTCTTAACTCTAACCATAAGCTGCTACCCTGTGACCCTGTGGCAGGCTCGGACCTTGCAGGATGGCAGCTGTCTCGTTCTCAGCCAGCAGCTGCACGCGTCTCCTCTCGGCGGGGTCGGTGAGGCCGGCGCCGTTCAGCTGCCGCACGAGGAAGTCCCCACCCTGCTCCATCAAGCGGCTCAACGAGTCAGCAAACACCTCGCCCAACACCGAGCGGTGCTACAGGGAGACGACAGGGAGAGTCAAGGAGAGAAAGAGAGGGGGGTCAGGGGTCATCGCGAGCAAAGGCCTCTTCTCACAGGACAAAATTGGGGTTGGGCCCTGTCTCGGTTTTCCCAGGTCAGTACTTGCATTGAGGTGGCCGTTCTCTTTTGTTTTAAAGTTTCCCCACAGAGGCCGAAAGCGTCAATGTATTGGCTCTAAAAATTAATCTGTCTGTAATGAGGCCACCATAACTTTCATAGAGATGATTCAATGTAAAGGACATTTTAACGTAAAGATGTGTTTCCTTGAGGAACTTGGTCAGAGAAACTGACCATACTGATCAAAAGGTTTCCCAAAACTCAGCGTATAAACCCAGTGCTAATGGAAACGCCTTGCTGCATCACACACAGAACCCATATATGAGCTTACCTCCTTGTTTTTGGTGCGTTTAGTAAAGGTGCCCTTATTGGGCACGCATTGCAAAAATCCCAATGGCTTGTTTAGTTAAGGACATCTAACAGTCACATTGATCACGATACCAGGTAAGCTCACCACAGTTTCCCACAATAACTCCTTGAACCATTCGTGAAGGCACTTACCGCGGATATGTCCTCTGGGCGCGCCATCTGCACCGACATTGGAAGTTTGGCCACAGGGTCAGGAAACTGCAGCACCGATAAAAAGCCCAGAAAATACATTATGGCCACGTCCACGTCATCTGGACCCGACGAGGAGGTGGTGGTGGGGTTGATGGTGATGGAGTTGGGGTTGCTGGAGTTGGTGGGGTTGCTGGAGGTGGTGGGGATGGTGGAGGTAGAGTTGGTAGGGATGGTGGAGGTGGTGGGGTTGGTGCGGATGGTGGGGTTGGTGGAGATGTTGGGGTTCGTGGGCATGGTGGAGGGGGTGGGGATGGTGGAGGTGGTGGAGATTGTGGGGTTGGTGGAGATTGTGGGGTTGGTGGAGATTATGGGGTTGGTGGGCATGGTGGAGGTGGTGGGGATGGTGGGGTTTGTGGGCATAGTGAAGGTGGTGGTGGAGATAGTGGGGTTGGTGAGCATGGTGGAGGTGGTGGGATTGGTGGGGATGGTGGGGTTGGTATAAATGGGGTTGATAAGTATGGTGGTAGTGGAGATGGTGGGGTTGGTGGAGGTGGTGGGGTTGGTGGGCATGGCGGAGGTGGTGGGGTTGGTGGAGGTGGTAGGGTTGGTGGAGATGGTGGCCTTGGTGGAGATGGTGGGGTTGGTGTGGATAGTGGAGGTGGTGGGGTTAGTGGGGAGGATGTGGTTGGTGGGCATGGTGGACGTGGTAGGGTTGGTGGGGATGGTGGGGTTGGTGGGGATGGTGTAGGTGGTGGGGTTGGTGGGCATGGTGAAGGTGGTGGAGATGGTGGAGTTGGTGCGGTTGGTGGGGATTGTGGGCTTGGTGGATATGGTGGGATTGGTGGGTATGGTGGATGTGGTAGGGTTCGTGGGGATGGTGGGGTTGGTGGGAGTCGTGGAGGTGGTGGGAATGGTGGGCATTGTGGAGGTGGTGGGAATGGTGGATGTGGTGGATATGGTGAGGTTGGTGGGCATGTTGGACGTGGTGGGGATGATGGAGGTGGTAGGGATGATAGATGTGGCGAGGTTGGTGGATGTGATAGAAGATGTGGGGTTGGTGGGAACGGAGATTGAGGACATAGTTGACTTGGGAATGTCTCTGATGGCGGATACAATTCCTCCCCTTTCCTCCCGTCTTACTCCTCTAAAAAGCATCCTTTCCCTTCCAGACTCTGAGGGACACTTCACTCTCTGTGTGTAAGTAAGAAAGCCAGTGAGTGTGTTAGTTGGTGCATGTGCACGTGTGTGTATATCCATGTTTGTTCGTGTGAAGTATGTACATGTGTGAGTATGCATGTGTATTTGTGTTGGGGAAGGGTGATGACAAGAAAGAGGAATTAACTTTGAAATGTGAATTCACAACTCAAATCAAACCTAGTCTCAACTCTACCATTACCTAGAATCATAACCTTAAACCAGAATCCTAACCCACCCTATACAGTGCCGGATTAAGCTAGTGCGTGGCCTGTGGCATATGTTATAAAGCGGCCCTAAATAAATAAATTAATAGAAACTTTTTTTGCTTGCATCGTAATTAAAAAAAAAAATGTATTTGCTATACAGCCAGATAATGACAAATCGCTAACTTTAAACACCCAGTCGTTCATACGAGTTGAAGGCAGTATAGTACTATAGTAATAAAACTAGTGCAGAATCACTGAACCGGAATTTATAGCTTGAAAGCATTTAGCGCAGGGCCCTTGAAAGTGCGGGGCCCGTAGCATATGCTACTTTTGCAACTAGGATAATCCGACTGACCCTATAACCTTAACCTAACCCACACTCCAAGCTGAACAACTTTAACCCTCACTTTGTCTTTTACATGCTACAGCAAAATGACCCTGAATCCATTTTATTGTTTCTGTAACTTAACTTAAATTTTACTCAGAATGTTTTTTTATTTGCCCAAGAAAACTATTGTAACCGGACATTCCATACCTCCGATTAGCATGGTTGGCTACGTACCGTGTGAACGAAGTTCAACATATATACATACATTTCTTAAAATTAACATTATGTTTGTTCACTGAGTTATTCTGTCATGTGGTTATTTTTGCTCTAATTTATATTTGCTTCATTGCTGTACTTGTTTATCTGTTATTGCTTTTTTCATTGTGGTGACCCAGGTCAGGCTTGCAAATTAGACTAAACTCCTCACTTGAGTTCCCACCTGGTTACACATCATCATGTTGAAGCTAACACAAATCCTTACCCTGCCTCTATCTCTGACCCTAACCCTGTGGTTGCCTTACCTTGATGTTGTATTTTTCTCGTTGGCACCGGAAGGTGGCAAACTGGCAGAATATGGGGAATACGAGAGACCCTGGGAGATCTGTACAAATAGGACCTGTGCGACACATACACAATCCCCTGTTAGTGCTCAGTGACTGTTGGGCAGGTGCTGTTAGCGGCAGCATAGCAGTTGGGGGGAGCGGTAGTGTAGCAGTTAACGTGCTGTGCTACGAACTCAGCAACCCGAGTTCGACTCCCGTTCACAGCCAACAACAGTGACAATTACAAAAAAAACCAGTGACAATTATCTGAACCGGTCCTGGACCTCCCCTAGGTCGACTCTGCTTCAAATGAGTACCTGGTGCAGTGTACAGTGAGAGAAAAAAGTATTTGATCCCCTGCTGATTTTGTACGTTTGCCCACTGACAAAGAAATGATCAGTCTATAATTTTAATGGTAGGTTTATTTTAACAGTGAGAGACATAATAACAACAACAAACTCCAGAAAAACGCATGTCAAAAATGTTATAAATTGATTTGCATTTTAATGAGGGAAATAAGTATTTGACCCCCTCTTAATCAGAAACATTTCTGGCTCCCAGGTGTCTTTTATACAGGTAACAAGCTGAGATGAGGAGCACACTCTTAAAGGGAGTGCTCATAATCTCAGCTTGTTTCCTGTATAACAGACACCTGTTAACAGAAGAAAACAAACAATCAGATTCCAAACTCTCCACCATGGCCAAGACCAAAGAGCTCTCCAAGGATGTCAGGGACAAGATTGTAGACCTACACATGGCTGGAATGGGCTACAAGACCATCGCCAAGCAGCTTGGTGAGAAGGTGACAACAGTTGGTGCGATTATTCGCAAATGGAAGAAACACAAAAGAACTGTCAATCTCCCTCGGCCTGGGGCTCCATGCAAGATCTCACCTCGTGGAGTTGCAATGATCATGAGAACGGTGAAGAATCAGCCCAGAACTACACGGGAGGATCTTGTCAATGATCTCAAGGCAGCTGGGACCATAGTCACCAAGAAAACAGTTGGTAACACACTACGCCGTGAAGGACTGAAATCCTGCAGCGCCCGCAAGGTCCCCCTGCTTAAGAAAGCACATATACATGCCCGTCTGAAGTTTTCCAATGAACATCTGAATGATTCAGAGGACAACTGGGTGAAAGTGTTGTGGTCAGATGAGACCAAAATGGAGCTCTTTGGCATCAACTCAACTCGCCGTGTTTGGAGGAGGTGGAAACATTATGCTTTGGGGGTGTTTTTCTGCTAAGGGGACAGGACAACTTCACCGCATCAAAGGGACGATGGACGGGGCCATGTACCATGAAATCTTGGGTGAGAACCTCCTTCCCTCAGCCAGGGCATTGAAAATGTGTCGTGGATGGGTATTCCAGCATGACAATGACCTAAAACACACGGCCAAGGCAACAAAGGAGTGGCTCAAGAAGAAGCACATTAAGGTCCTGGAGTGGCCTAGCCAGTCTCCAGACCTTAATCCCAAAAGAAAATCTGTGGAGGGAGCTGAAGGTTCGAGTTGCCAAACGTCAGCCTCGAAACCTTAATGACTTGGAGAACATCTGCAAATAGGAGTGGGACAAAATCCCTCCTGAGATGTGTGCCAACCTGGTGGCCAACTACAAGAAACGTCTGACCTCTGTGATTGGCAACAAGGGTTTTGCCACCAAGTACTCAGTCATGTTTTGCAGAGGGGTCAAATACTTATTTCCCTCATTAAAATGCAAATCAATTTATAACATTTTTGACATGCGTTTTTCTGGATTTTGTTGTTGTTATTCTGTCTCTCACTGTTAAAATAAACCTACCATCAAAATTATAGACTGATAATTTCTTTGTCAGTGGGTAAACGTACAAAATCAGCAGGGGATTAAATACTTTTTTACCTCACTGTATAAACATTTACAATGGGCGTGGTGCTGGCCACGCACCCCCTCGTGTGCTGTGCTGGCATTCATAGGTGCTTGCGACCAGAACTTTGCCCAAAAGTCTGTTAAGGCTATACAGGGGATCTGTGTCTTTGTTAGTGAGATCCTATTAAGGCCAACACGGTGCACGACGGAGTGTTGTAGCCAGCATCACTCGTGTACAACCACCTTTATTTCCCTAATGATCATGAATTGCACGCTAAGTGAGGTACTTATTTAAGGATGAGTTTACGTGACTGGATAGGTGACTGGGTGTGTGGGTGAATGGGTGGGTAGGTGAGTGGATTGGTCTGTAGATAAGTTCGTTGGTATGTGGGCTTGCAGAAGAATGGATGAATGGTGGGTGTGGATGAGTACTTGAGCATGTGAATAGGTAGGTAGGCAGCTGAGAGAGTAGGTTGGTGAACAAATATGAAGGTACAGATAGGTATGTGAATATGTTGGTGTACATGTTTGTGAATAGGTGAGTGGGAGAGGAGATGAGTATGTGAGAAGGTGAGTGGACTGTGCCTCACCTCTCGGGATGATCCCCCTGTTCTCACTCTGGTCATGCATGCGCACGCGGGGGTCCGCACACCCCCAGTCTGCATGCTGTTGGCACAGGAACCGTGCCTGGCTCCGCGGCCGGAGGACCCGCAGAAAGCGTGGGTACTCCCTGGGGGTGAGGGGCCGTGGCCAGTGGGCGCTCATGGGCCACGAGAAGGCAGCATGACCTGCGCGCACGAAGGAGAACACCAACATCATCGACAGCATCAACAATAGCAGCAGAAGTAACAACAATAAGGTGGCGAGGCAAAGGCACAGTTCACATCTCACTCACCACTGAAATTGGCCATGGCCAGGAATTGAACTGAGCTCGCCGGATATGTAGCGTGGTGTGCTAACCAATGAACTACTGCTCTCCCGGTGGGGTTGCTATGTAGATGGTTTAAATGATTATAAATAGATATTCTCGATTCATAATCACGTTTTGACTAACTGGCCAAATAAAGGCCCATTGCCTGAAACGTTGCCTATTATATATTTGTAGTGAGTCCAACTGAGTCGCAGAGGTTATCTTGGGAGCAACACTATTTATTCCGAATTAACACGTAACACAACACAATCTACACTCGGGTCTCGAATACCCATCTAACCACGCTAACAGCTGAACTAGACACGGTTTGCTATCCCGGTCCCGGACCACAAGCTGGGTCCCGGACCACAAGCTGGGTCCCGGACCACAAGCTGGGTCCCGGACCACAAGCTGGGTCCCGGACCACAAGCTGGGTCCCGGACCACAAGCTGGGTCCCGGACCACAAGCTGGGTCCCGGACCACAAGCTGGGTCCCGGACCACAAGCTGGGTCCCGGACCACAAGCTGGGTCCCGGACCACAAGCTGGGTCCCGGACCACGTGGCTAGAGGCTTCTTCTCCCCGACGTGGATCTTCCAACACCAACACTTGAAGAAACCCGAGCTCCTCACGGAACTCTCGCTATATGCTCCCGGGCTGGGGCTGGCTCCGCCCTTAGCCCCGCCCACCTTCCAGGCTTCTCGAGCTACTTCTCGAATGTTCCCGAGAGCCCATCGGGACCACGTGACCGCCCCTCGGCCCCCATCCACCGGTGGCCCCCCTCCAGTATCGTCCGGTCACGTGACAACAGGTCAGCCAGAGTGTCATGCCCCAGATTAACCTTCACTGGGACCCGGTATCGCACACCGCTCGTGGTGCCTCCGCGCTAAACAGCACTCACCCAACCACCGCTAGGGTTGGTACTGCAGCCCATAACCCGGGCTGCCCGTAATGACAACATTACAGGCCGTGACTTCGCAAGTCCCGGCACCATACAGTGACGAGTACAGTCACTACATATTTGTTTCTCTTTAAGGCCTTGGTGTTATTCTTGACCCGGAACGTGTTAAGATGTTGTGGTCTGTGCTTGTGCACCACTGCCACCGCAGCAGCACCAGAGGAGGTGTTTAACTGTATTAGATGCACAGTGCACATGGTATCACCATCAATAACAAAGTAGAGAATCAGCGTCTCCTACTTCATGTGTCTGTCACTTTCAATAAAACCATTCCTATCTATGAGATCGTTTTTGCCAGTATCAAGATGTTCAATGATAAATAATGGATTAACCCTTTCCAGCATAAATATGAGTGGTGTGAAGATGTCCAAACATCAAATAGACACCCAAGACAAAACATCAAATTTGCATTAACCACATAGACTTAAGGTAAAAAATACAAACATGCTTTGATACTTGTGTAATGATAGGGTGACACCTGCTGGCCTCGAAAGGGAATAATGGGTACGGGCACAGTTAAGTACTAACCAATCAGAGAAGAGGGTGTATCTGGGGAAAAGAAAACAGGTGTGGTTAGCCGAGATACTCCGGGAACCTGCTCGAAGGTTCCACGAGACGGCATGGCCGGAGGCGGGGCCTAGCCATGCCTGCAGCAATATAAGGGGGAGCGGACCCGGGGCTCGGGGCCTGTGTGTGGGGTCCTGGGTCTTGGCTGCATCGCTGCTAACTGACATCTTTCTCTGTCGTCCGGTCACGTGGAAGATCTTCTGCGTGGTTTCCATCACCGTCATCGTCACACCGCCAGCCAGCGGCGTAGCCGAGTGAGGGCGATGGGACCACGCTGAGTGATCGGCTGTGTGTGTAGCCAGTAGAGGTGTTAATATCTAGAGTTATACTCAGTGTGAGGAAGAACAAATGTTGGCCTGTATTGTGCCCAGTGTGAGTAATAAAGAAGAAGTACCCTCTACACGACGTGTCGCGGAAGTCGCTCATTACATTGGAGGCAGAAGTGGTTGAAAACATTAATTAAAGTTAGACAGCGAAGAAAGAAGTACGTCTAAACATCATAAAAAATGGAATCCACCTGTGGCGTCTTTCGACGACGATGAAAATGCGACCCAAGACCTCCTACCAGCCCCGGGAACCGTGGTCCCAGTTATTGAAGGCACAGCGAGTGAATTGGCTTCGCCAGAAGTGGTGGATCCAGGAGCAGCCACTCTGCGCCAGCAGCCCTAAAATGGCTGGCGAAGGGTGTCAGTGCAGCTGGACCTGTTGCGGGTGGTTGTCGTGCAGTTGGTGACGCTCGTCACATAGACTACGGTGGCTGGGCACTCTGCACTGATATCGCTGTGAAGGAGCGACCAGGAGTCCAGAATTGGCATTCTGGCGGGAACGCTGATTCGAGTGCACCCGAATCCAGACTCCTTCATCAGCACCATCGGTACAGCATGGGCTTATATAATAGGGCTTCGACATGCACCATCTCTTCATCATCTGCACCTGGAACCCGCGCTCCTGAGGACGCTCTCCGGCCTCGGGCTTCTTCGCGGTCAACGTCAGAGACTGCATTAGCTTCGTGGTTGTAGAGGTGGTAGGGGCCGCCGTTCACAGGTCAACCATCAATCCAGCCAACTCCTGTATTCCCTCGATGCCTCACCTCTACGGATCTTCATATCCACCTTCACACATCCGCCTCGGCCTACACAACTTCAGCTCAATTACCAACAAATCAGCCCTGATTCACGATATTATCCTGGACCACCACATCGACCTTTTGCTCATCACTGAGACTTGGTGCAGGCAAGACTTCCCGCCAGCAATCTCTCTGGAAGTTGCGCCCCCGGGATACAAGGTTCTTCATAAACCTCGCGCAACTAACCAGCGGGGTGGTGGCTTAGCAGTCGTTTACAATGCACACTTGAAAATTAAAGAGCTCTATCTACCAATGGCTCCCGCCACCTTCGAGATCCAGTACATATCCCTCACTACTAACAATGAGTGCTTTTCCATCATTTCCATCTATCGCCCTCCAGATGGCAGCATCAATACCTTCTTAAAATAGCTTTCGGAATTCCTTTATCTGATTCCTAACCCATCTCACAGGCTCGTGCTTACAGGTGACTTTAATTGCCCCGGCAATACCCCAGCCTCCATTGATAGTCGCCTTGAGTCAACTTTGACCTGCCATAACCTGGTCATCACAAACTCAGGCCCCACCAGAGCTTCCTCGACAAATGTTGAGAGCATGCTCGACCTGGTTCTGGAACCTGACCAGCATCGACGCATCACTGCACAGGGAGTTTTCCAAACTGGTTACTCCGACCACCGCCTCATACTTTTTTCCCTCCAAATTCCCAAGCCAATCACCATCAAATTCACCCGCAACTCGCGTAATTTCAAGGGTATCGAGTTTTCTGCTTTTCGCCACCTCCTTGCAAATTCGCCTTCAATGTTATCCCCATCATCGGATCCAACCGTCTGCGCTCTCCAACTAGAAGCTGACATGAGGGCGGCGCTGGACAAACTGGCTCCTTTAAAATCACGAACCGCTAGGCAGTCTTCCCACGACACTCACTGGCTCTCAAGAGACGCCATCATTGCTAAGTGAACCAAGAAGCGCCTTGAAAGTATCGCATGCCGTAGTGGTCTACCTGCTGATCGACTTGCTTACAGAGTCGCCTGCAGGAAAACTAACAAACTTATCCTTGTCTCACGTTCCTCCTACATTGAAGATCGCATCAAAACAGCAACCGGAAAACCGTGCATTCTATAGAAAATTCTAGATTTGAAGCTTTCGTGACTGCAATGATTCATATTCTTAGGTTTTTTCGGTAAAGTCACGTAGGCAAAAAAATTGAAATTAAAATTAATAAAAGTAAAATAAAAACAAAAAATAAAAAATCACGACGTTTCGGAGGCAACACAACCCTCAATGATCTTATACATACTGGTAGCACCATGGTCCCTCACCTTAGCGATCCCCTGGCCTCACTGAAACTTGCCACCTCTTTTAATACTTATTTCACCAACAAGCTAATCACCGTCGCAAACTCTTGCATGTCTACTCACACATCGCACCGTTGTACCCCGCTCAAGTTACCTGAAATTGTAAGCACTCACCCAGACACCTTTCTAACTACGATAAAGCCGGTGTCTACAAAAGACGTTTCCTCTTTAATTGAATCACTTCAATTGAAGTCATCTCCACTCGACGTGCTCCCAGGTTCCTTGTTCAAGCAATGTGCCCCGGAACTCGCCATCATGATCAGGAACATCGCAAATGACTCATTTTCTATGGGGTGTTTTCCGTCCAACCTCAAATCTGGCCTGGTTTCTCCCTTGTTAAAGAAACCAAGTCTCGACCCGGATAACCCATCTAGTTATCGTCCCATCACTAATCTCTCGAAACTCTCTAAACTCTTTAAATTTGTAAATCAAAATTTAACCGCCACTACGGGGTGGGATTCCATAAAACTTTAAGAGCCTTCAACAAGCTCCGTGATAAGAAGGCTCAGCTAATCGAGTCTCTCACCTTTCTGAAGAGATGATTGATATGCAAATTATTTTGTTAAGGCGCACCTTCCTGCTCCAACCTAGCTTAAATAAACGCTCCAAGCCTGGGGCATGTCATTCAGACGCTGTCTTCTCGACAGACTGTTTCTTCACCTGAGGACGGCTGCTTGCGTTATGGCCGAAACGTCGTGAAAATTATTTTATTATGCTTTATTTTTATAATTTTACCGAAAGAACCAAGAAGATGACTCTCTAAACTCCTTGAACAACTAGCCCTTGCCCAGCTAAAACCACACATCACCTCCTCCGCAAACTACTGCTGCTTCCAGTCAGCTTACCGTCAAAACTACTCCATAGAAACAGCACTCACTAGAGTGCTCGATGACATTTTAACGATCATGGATTCCG